TGCCGCTGTATCAGCCTCGGCCGGCCGAGTCACAGCCGCCGGCAGCGCGGCTGACCGATCCGCCAACGTCGGCGCGTTCTCTGCAACAACCTCCACGGTGGCCGCCGCCGCTCCTGCGCGGGAGCGATGAACGACATATTTCCCGCAAAGCACCAGAAAAAAAGCCTCGACGAAGGCGGCGGCACCAGCAGGGGCAGCCCACAGTTCTTGCGCCTCTTCGGGTGTGAAATTTTGGAATTACGACGGGGAAGCGCCACCTTTGGCTTCCAGTTCTGCTTGGAGACAAGCACATTGAACACTCTCATTTCTCAGTCGAAATTCCTGCTGCTCGCCGCAGCAGGCGGCCCACCTCCGACGCCGCCGCCGCGGCCGCCGCATCCGGCTGGGGACGCACTTCCCGAAGAGAGGTGCCAGCATCTGTCCGCGCCCGATTCTGCTCTATGAATTTCAGCGCGCGGGCCACGCCGGCCACGGACTACCACTCTCCCATCTGGCGCGACAGGACTCACAAACGACGGCACACACTGGCTAGCATGTATTATGTGATCCGTCTTTTGAAGCCCAAGGCAGCGCAAGGGGCCGCGGCCGCTCGCGCCATTCAAAGCCTCGCTCACAGAAGTCGGCAACGCTCGCGACCCACGCAACGCGCCTCGCAGGGCCACCTCGTCATTCAGCTTACAAGGGGCGCGGAACGCATGCGAGGAAATGCACGACCGGGCAACTTGAAACCAACAACTCGTGATCAACTCATTCAATCGCTCTGCCTGCTTGCGCCGCGCGCGAGCGCGCGCAGCACAGGGTTGCAATCTACCGAGAAAAGGATTTCACAGCCGTGATGCCCGCGCTCGATTAAACATTTAACTGCGCGCACTGCCGCCGCAAGCCCCCGAAGCACAATCTGCGCGCGGCGCGGGCGAGACCGCGCCCTCGCAGCGCCTGGCGCCCAAGCGGAGCTCCAGAGACGGAACTGTGGATGCACTGCCACGAACGCAATGGCGCCGTCGCCCGCGGCATCTGCATACACCGCGCACAGTGCATTGCACGCAACCACTTGTCACGTTCGGCAGTGCCTGTTTCTAAAACTAACTCGCCGGTGTCGGCGAAGCTGACCGCCTCCGTGCGCGCCCGCTTGATCAGGTCGACCATCTCCCCATCCTCCAGGGGTCGATTGAACGCCACCGCCTGCGGCAAACCCCGAGGGTGGCCCTTCCGCACCGTGAGAAGCGCCGCGCTGGTGCACGCGTCGCTGCTCTCGACATAGAGGTCGCCGCCAGGAGCGCACACGAAATAGCAAGCGCCCTCCTCCGCGCGCGTCGGCCAGAGGAAGACGCGCTCATGGGCAGCCAGGATCCTCTGCAAACGTGACTAGACCGCGAGCTCATGGCGCTGGGTTCGAGACCGCCTCAAACCTCGATCTTGGATCTAGGCGGATCATTGCTTGATCTGGAGACGCGTCTCTCCTAGCGGCAGCCGTCTACAAGCCTCGCTGCCCCTGCGGGCGCAGCCCTGCCAGGCGCGCGTCACCGCTCCGAGCTCTGCGACCGCCAGCACGAGCAGCAGCAACCCAGCGGGCACCTCCACCGTCGAGCCTGCCACGCCCGTGCCCCCCAGGGCGCGGAAGCTCTCTGGACAGGGGAGTGGAGGTCCCAGCGCTCGAGGTGGCGTTGGTCACTGCGGTGGAAATAGTGCTGTTACTCCAGAGAGTCCCTACAAGACCACCCAGGCAGGCGCTGCCGCCGAGCCAGTTCGCCGGATGGACGAAGATGCCCGTCAGCATGGCGAACACTATCGCGGCACTGCCAGTGGTACCCGCAAGCATGCCAGGGCTATTAGCTTACGCAACATTACGACGACAGGCGAACCACTCTCAGCAAACACCTGCGACGCAGAGACATGCTCGAATGTCCGCCAACGCGAGTTTCCCAAACCCTCGATGCCAGCCCTTTTCGCTTTCGATCGCACCCATTTGGGGGGGGGCATGTTTTTTTTCCATGCAGGCTGGTCCTTGGCAAGCGGCGGCGGCGGCCGAGGACCGTCGGTTTGGCCAGCGAAGCTGATCGGCGGCAACCCGACCCCAAGAGGGACGGACAAGGGACCGACCACGACGACGACGACGACGACGACGACGACGACGACGACGACGACGACGACGACGACGACGGCGACGGCGACGGCGACGGCGACGGCGACGGCGACGGCGACGGCGACGACGACGACGAGCGAAAGCGAGAGCGATAGCGAGAACGAAAGCGACAGCGGGGCCACGTAGGGCAGCCACAAAGGGCGACAGCGGGGCCACGAAGGGCATACATATGGGGCCACGACGGGCGCGAACAGCGGGGCCACGAAGGGAATGCATATGGGGCCACGACGGGCGCGAACGAGCGGGGGCCATGAAAGGCATGCGTACATTGGGACGCAGCGGGCAAGGATAGGGTCAATGAGGGCAGCAACGGGGCCACGAAGGGCAGCGAGAGGGCCACGAAGGGCGACGGCGGGGCCACGAATCGTTTGCACATGAGACCACGACGGGCGCGAAAAAGCGGGGGCCACGAAGGGCGTACATAGATGGGGCCACGAAGGCAGCGAGGGGGCCACGAAGGGCTGCAACGGCACCACGAAGGGCAGCAAGGGGAAGGGCTGCGACGGGACCACGAATTGCTGCAACGGGGCCACGAAGGGCAGCGAGGGGGCCACGACGGGCAGCGAGGGGGCCACGGAGGGTAGCAACAGGGCCACGAAGGGCAGCGAGGGGGCCACGAAGGGCTGCAACGTGGCCACGACGGGCAGCGCGAGGGGCCACGAAGGGCTGCAACGGGGCCACGAAGGGCAGCGAGGGGGCCACGAAGGGCTACAACGTGGCCACGACGGGCAGCGCGGGGGCCACGAAGGGCTGCAACGGGGCCACGAAGGGCAGCGGGGGGGCCACGAAGGGCTACAACGTGGCCGCGACGGGCAGCGCGGGGGCCACGAAGGGCTGCAACGGGGCCACGAAGGGCAGCGGGGGGGCCACGAAGGGCTACAACGTGGCCACGACGGGCAGCGAGGGGGCAACGAAGGGCTGCAACAGGGCCACGAAGGGCAGCTCGGGGCCACGAAGGGCTGCAACGGGGGCACGAAAGGCAGCGAGAGGGGCCACGAAGGGCAGCAACGGGGCCACGAAGGGCAGCGATATCCCGATTTCTGAATAAGCTGCGAGGGAGTCCTAAGCGTGAGCGCGACTCCTGGGTGCCTGAGCGTCGGGAGCGCAGCGCTTGAATAAATTGCGAAGAATTCCGACGCAAGAGCGCGCTACTTTAGACAAGTGCAAACAACTCTCCAGCGAGAGCGCGACTCCATCCAGGGCGCCGAGAGAACGATCCCTTACTAAATTGTAAGAAACTCCCAAGGGAGAGCGAGATTCCGGAGTAAAATGTAAATCTCAGGCGGGAGCGGGGGGCAGGACCAAATTACAAGGAAATTTCAAGCGGGGGCCGTTGTTGCTGTAATCTGCGGGCCAACAACATAGTTTGAGCCCCGTGACTTTCCCTGATGAAAAACAAGGTGCGAGCCCCGGAGAAAGCATGTCAATTGAAAAGCACAGTGGTCACCGGAGGGGGGATCAACCAGAAGATTCCTGCCAAACCGCTTTCCGATGGGTAGTCCCGTGCGCCCGCACGGACCGTTGGGCGAAGCACCAAGCGCGGCTGGACGGGGAGCCCGAGAGACCCCAAGGACCCTCGAGACCCACCCGGCCGGCGCACGGAACACCCAGGGGAGCGCGGGCGGCAAAGCCGGCACCGCTGGCGGCCACGGCCACAGGGCGACCTGCGCCAGCGGCCGGCGAGGGCGCGCCGCCCCACCAGAGGCGGCGACCCAAAGCTCCTGTGCGAGGCCGCCGACCAGCAGAGGAGCCGCACAGCTCCTACTGGAGCACAGGCCGAAACTTGTTACCCCGCCTCGGACCCGGGCGGCAAACGGGAGAGCGGAGCAGCCGAAAGGCAAACGAATCTCCGAATCTCCGAATGGAGAAGGACGCGGCTTGTGAGAATCTTCCTCCCCAGAACCAAGGGTTAGACATGATGACTTATTGTTCAGTAGTGAGAGAACATCATCATCATCATCATCATCATCATCATCATCATCATCATCATCATCATCATCATCATCATCATCATCATCATCATCATCATCATCATTATCATTATCATTATCATCAACAACAACAATAACAGCGACGACGACGACAACGACGACAACAACAATCCGCACCGCGGAATCCCATGTCAGCCACGCACACAATGACAGCGAATGACTGGTCGGCCCCCTCACTCACCCTGAGATATACATATGAACATACATACATGCACATATGTATATATATACACATATATATACATATACACACACGCACGCGCACACACAGTTATGTATATATATATACTATACGTATGCATACATGCATGCATACATACATGCATGCATGCATGCATGCATACATACACACAGACATGCATGCATATATACATACATGTATACACATACATACAGACATACATACATACATACATACATACAAACATGCATGTTGGGCTTCACGCGTGCCCCCTGGGGCGTCTCGCGGCTCCTCGCGCGAATGCTCGGAGCCAAAGAGGGCCCCGAGACGGACCAAGAGGGCCCCAACAGGGCCCCAAGACGGCCCCGGAACGCCCGCTCCGAGACGCCCAAAGATCGCTCCAAGACGCCGAAGATGGCCTCGGGATGGCTCACGAGGCCTCCAAGACGTTCCAGGAGGCCCCCTCAGAGGTACCCAAGAGGCAAAAAACATTGGGCGTTCCGCCTTTTCTGTTTTCCGACGCCCAACGACGGCCCAAGAGAAGAGGCCCCCAAGACGAGGCGCGGGGCGGGAATCGGATCGGATCGGTCGAGCCAGCGCCGTCGCAAGCATTGGGCCGCATCGAATCAAAGGAAAAAATCGGGACTGCACCGGACCGGGCGGTCATAGATCGATATCGAATCAGATCGATCGGATCGAATTGGACCCTGATCCAATGGGAGAGGGCTGTCGGGGAGACGTTAGACTCGAGTTTGGGGGACTCGAGTTGGTCTGACGGGGCCGTCGAAAAAAATGGCGGGACCACATCTGAAACTTGACGCGAACTCCCGCTGCAAGCATCTCGCGAAGACTGCGCTGTCACATTCATGCAGGGACCGCCAACAAGCGTCGGCAACCTCGAGCCCTGGCTCACTCGAGTCTTACGTCTCCCCGAAGTTTGTCCTCCGCGCAAGCGCCCCCCCTGCCTGAGCCGAGGAAGGCTGGCCACGCGCGGGGCGAGGAGGAGAGGACCAGCCGATGTCTGGGAGGCGCAGGAAACAGTGAGGAGGAGCTGAGGGTACTTCGTACGTGGCGCTGCGGCAAATTGACTTGGCGATTCTGGCAACGTGTAGGGGAGTCTTGAAAAGCTCGTTAACGTGGAGTGGCTTGCATCTCCATGGACCCGCCCTGGGACTGGAGAGAGGGATGCTCGAGACATGATCCATGGTGCACACAGCGTATATCGAAGGCCGCCCCATCGGGCCACGCATCTGGGGCCAAATCACGACTCACCAAAGAAAACCTTTCAAATCGCATCGGCAGGGCCTCAAGTTCGACAGCCTCGGTTCTCGCCTCCAACGGTCGCCTCCAGCCGTCTTTGGGCCGTGTTGGAGCCCTTGGACGCATGCTTTTGATGCCGGCATTGGGGCTCGTTTGGAGCCATGTTGAAACCGTTGTGAAAATTTATTGAAATCGTTTTGGGGCAGCCTTGAAGGTCTCTGGGGCTGTCTTAGGCTGCTTGGAGTCCTCTTGGGAACGCGAGCAAATTGGCTTGGAAGGCCCCAAAGACTCCAGGCCTTCAGGCCGCCGCCGCCGCCGCCATCGACGACGACGCTGGCGCCAGAGGAGCAGCAGCCACAGCACGAGCAGAAAAGACAAGACAGAGGGAAAAGCACAACGGGAAAGGGAGGGGGGAGAGGGAGGCGAGAAGCGGATTCCTCCAGCTCCTCCAGCTCCGTCATTCCGTCTCCCTCACCCTGTGCGCGAAGTAATGGGAGGCGATTGCTCGGGGGGAGAAAGGTGTCCCTTTCTTCGGGTCCTCAAGGCCTCCTCTGGGGCGCTGAAGGGCCCCTTTAGGAGCGCTAGAGGGCCCTTTTTCTGCAGCCCTCGCTGCACCCCCATGAATCGCCCCCGCATTACGCGACCCCGAATCACCCTCCTCTGCATCTCGGCCCTCCTACGATGACGGTGGAAATAGACCAACGGCGAAGGCGACGACGCTAAGAACTTCGAAACGAACATGGATTCGAGACTTACCCAAGCGTCCTTTGAAGTCGCCGAAAGTGCCCGGTAGTCTCTGGAAGGGTTCAGAGGCCTACAAACTGCGAAGCATATACATAATAAGCAGTATCATCGCTGCGTAGTCCCGCCATCTCTGGGGTGCGGGGGAAAGGCTCCCCAGGGGCTCATGAAGGCCTCTTGGGGGCGTCTGCTAGCCTGCTGGCGGTCTCCAGGCTGCTTCTGGGGCTTATTGGGCCGCACACTACCATCGCGGAAGGGGAGCGCTGTGGGCTTGCATACTTCGTCGATTGCGGGACAGGAAGAGACAACAACATCCCTAGTTGCCTGGAAAGTGCACGCTGAGTGTGGCCTCTTGGAAGCCTCTTGGGGCCTCTTGGCGCGCTCTTGGGCGGGACCCTCTTGGGACCCTCTGGGGGGGGACTCTGTTGTTTTTGAGCCGTCTTGGGCCGATGTGGGGGACCTCTTGGGTCGTCTTGGAAAGTGTTCCGAGCCAGAAGCAAAAAAAACATGTACGCTTTGCTCAGGCCATGGGGCAAGTTCTGCCTCTTCGGGCGCTCTGGGGAATCCTCCTTGAGCCGTCTTGGGAGCCTGATGGGCCGTCTGGTTGGTGGACGTAGTGGACCGCTCTTGGATCGTCTCGAAAGCCTCTTGGACCGTCCTGTATACCACTTGGAAACTCCTTGGGCCATCCGGAAAACTCTGGAGGCCCCAGCCCAAACTTGAGATTCGACTGGTGAAACGTGTGTATGTTTGCATCGGGAAAATCGCAAGCGAGAGAGGAGAGATAGAGAGAGGAAGATAAAGAGAGAGGGAGAAACACTCAAAAATTATGTACACGCGCCAGAAAGAAGAGAGGGACACACACACACACACACACACACACACACACACACGCACGCACGCACGCACGCACGCACTTACACACACCGATAAGTATGTATATATATATATACATATGGTTACACGACGATGTGTATACACACGTGTGTGCTTGTATGCTGGTCTGTTTGTATACATGTAGATGTACCGGTATAGATGTATACATTCAGAGTCTGTATGTGTGCATGGGCGCCGAGGCCCGGCCCTCGGCCATGCGGACACAGACGGCCCTGCTTCTGGCCGCACCCCTTGGCTGCTTCCTGGACGTGGATTGGACTACCACCCCAGGCCGCTACCGACCACCCGGTGGCACAACGATGCACATCGTCTTCGTGGTCATCCTCATCTCCTGGGCCTAAACCCTAAACCCTAAACCCTAAAACCCTAAACCCTAAACCCTAAACCCTAAACCCTAAACCCTCTTCACCAGTTGGTGGCACCTGTTGCTCTTCGCCTACCTGGTGTACCTCTACCCCCCGGACGTCGTCCTGGTTACGTCCTTCCGCACGCAGCACTTGAGGACGGTGATTTTGACGCGCCGTCGACGGCAACACCACTTCGCTCTCCCTCTGGGACTTCGCCTCCGGCTCCTGTCCAAGGCGTACCTTTTTCTGTGCAAGCTCTTCGGCACCGCCTGCACCCCGCGCCATCCGGCCGCCTGAGGCCCCGCCCGCCCGCGCCCTGTCTCCCCAATTAGTGCTTTGCGCGGCCCGCCTAGCTCTTAACCAGAAGAGGCTCGCTCTCGAACCGCAGACCAAAAAAGTGCATGGGCGCCGGCCTATTCCCCCCACCCCCTTGTGTTTGAAGGTTGTTTCATCCTTTCGACCGAAAGTAACGATCGCATGGTGCGAGGCAGGGGCGCAAGATGATGGGTCGTCATCCAGCGAGCGCAGCACGAGGTGACATCGATGAAGCACTCAGGGTCTGTTTTTTCGTGCGGGGATCCCTGTCTCGATCTCAACGCGCGATCAGAAATGGCCGCCCAGGGACCCTTTGGGAGCATGGGGTGCAGGTGACAGTCTGTGTCCCGCGGAAGGGGGCCCTTAGAAGACTACAGAAACCCTGCCAGGAGGGTCAGGGGGCAAATCCCCCCCCCATGCTTTTGAATGAGTATATGATGTGCGAGTCGGGACGAGTCGTCCACTTGCCGTTGGTATCGGCGCAGTATACCCGCGGTGCTGTTCCTCGGCGCTGCCTCCCCTCATCTCTCTCTCTCTTTCTCTCTCTCTCTCTCTCTATTTATCTGTTTCTCTCTTTCCGCCGTTCTCCGCCTAAACACCAGCCGCAGCCTAGCCCAAGTCTCAGCCTAACCTAGCTTAGGCACCAGCCGAAATTGAGCCTAAGCCTTGGCTAAGCCTCAGCCTCAGCCGAGCCTCAGCCTTAGCCTCAGCCTAGCCTCAGCCTCTCCTCAGCCTCTGCCTCAGCCTAAGCTCGGCCTCAGCCTCTGCCTCAGCCTAGCCTAAGCTGCAGCCTAAGCATTGCCTAAGCCTGTCCTGAACCTCAGCTTCATTCTAATCACCAGCCCCCACACAGCCTAAGCCCAGCCTAAGCCAGCCGAGCCTAAGCCTCAGCCGAGCCTAAGACCAGCCTAAGACTAGCCTAAGCCCAGACTGAGCCTCAGTTTCATCATCAGCCTCAGCCTAAGACTAGCCTAAGCCTCAGCCAAAGCCCAGACTGAGCCTCAACCCGACTATTGCGACTGCAATATCAAGATATCACTATCACCACGGTTCTACAACAGTCATATTACTAAAATGCTGAAAGTCTACTACTCCTGCAACACGACGACGACGACGACGACGACGACGACGACGACGACGACTACTACCACTACCACTACCACTACCACTACGACTACGACTACGACTACTACTACTACTACTACTACTACTACTACTACTACTACTACTACTACTACTACTACTACTACTACTACTACTACTACTACTACTACTACTACTACTACTACTACTACTACTACTACTACTACTACTACTACTACTACTACTACTACTACTACTACTACTACTACTACTACTACGACTACGACTACTACTACTACTACTACTACTACTACTACTACTACTACTACTACTACTACTACTACTACTACTACTACTACTACTACTACTACTACTAC